CCTGGAGCCTTCCTGGCCTCATCTCCTACCTCTCTCCCTCCTGACTCCCTCCACTCCAGCCACACTGGTTCCTTGCTGTTTGCCAAACGCCCAGAGCACATGCCTGCCCCAGGGCCCTTGCACTAGCTGTCCCCTGCTGGGAATGCTCTCCCCCAGTACCCGCACAACACCCTCTCTCCCTTCCTCCAGGACTCTGCTGTAGCACCTACTAAATGTGCCCTCAGAAGAGAGGTCTTCCCTGACCACAGTGTCTGATGGGGGCGGCCCTTTCCCCTGCTTTACATTTCTGATCGCCAGCTGTCTCAGTTACCTAGCACTGCTACAACAGAAACACCACAGTGGATGGCTTTAACAGACAGAAGTGTATTCTCTCACCGTCTAGGAGGCTAGAAGTCCGAATTCAGGGCGCCAGCTTCAGGGGAAGGCCTTCTCTCTGTCTGCTCTGGGGAAGGTCCTTGTCATCAGTCTTCCCCTGGTCTAGGAGCTTGTCAGCGCAGGCACCCCGGGTCCAAAGGACACGCTTTGCTCCTGGATCTACTTTATTGGTGGCATGAGGTCCCTTCTTTCTGCTCGCTTCTCTCTTTTATATCTCAAAAGCGATTGACTCAAGATACAGCCTAATCCTGTAGATTGAGTCCTGCCTCATTAACAGAACTGCCTCTAATCCTGCCTCATTCACATCACAGAGGTTAGGATATACAACACACAGGATGATTACATCAGATCACAAAATGGAGGACAACCACACAGTACTGGGAATCATGGCCTAGCTAAATTGACACCCATTTTTGGGAGACAGAAGTCAATCCATAACATCAAAGGCTACCTTCCGTCCTCCTTTCTTCTCTGTCTGCCTCTCCCAGTGGAACGGAAGTCCTGTGGAAGCAGAGCCATTTTCTTCTTGCTCTTCGCTGCCATAACCCCTGCTCCTAGATCAGGTCCAGGTATACAGTAGGCATTCAATAAGTGTTTGTTGAATGAATGGATGAGCAAAGGAGATCAGGAAGATTCCCGTGGAGGGGGCCCCCAACTGCTGCACCCTTGGCCACCCTGCACAGCTTATTTAAAATGCTGGCTCCCAGGCCCATCCCTGGCCTGTGGGGCAAGGCCTGGGACTCTGCGTTTTTAACAAACGCCGGGGTAAGTGAGGCTTGACAGACCTTGGCATGAACACAGCCAGGACCTGCCCTGCGCCTCTCTCAGCTCCGTTTGGAGGGTGGCGAGGAGCAGGGTGACCCTGGGTGCCGTGAGCATTTCCTGTTGATTGGCTGGCCAGCTCCTCCGTGTCCTGCCTCGTGTTGGCCCAGTCGGCCCGAATAATTGACTCCCAGCCCCCGAATGCTTGTGCAAAGGCACCTTGCCACTGACTCAGGAGGGAGAGACTCCCGAGACGGAAAGATGAGCAAGTGTTGTGTTCAGATGACTGGAGTCAAATCCA